CTGCTGCCCCTCCCTCCACTCGACCGAGTTTCAATGATAGAAAGCCTGACACAGACTAGTGAATAAATTGCTGTAGATTCTTGGGCAACTCACTTAACACCTGAGTCTTTAAAAAATGTATAAATGACACATGTGAAATGACCTCTACAGGGCTTTTCACCGCAGTGATTGTGTGGACGAGATGGCTGTGTAAGACACGTAACAGCATAGCAGTCCCCCACCTGTCAGTGACTGCACATGGCTGTCGTTGACAGGGCAGGTCCTGTTTTCCTCCAGTGTCAGTGTTACAGGTAAGGAAACAGACAAAAGGGCCTCTCACCTCCTGGAAAACCACAGCTGCAGAAGCAAAATCTGAAGCAGAGAGACGTTGTTGAAAGCCTGCCTTTTCTTCTTTCAGTATTAATTTTATTTAACCTGGTTTTTAACTGAGGTATAATCATTACGTGTAATGTACATAAAGGGATGTCCATAGCTCTAAGTGTAGTTCATTAGCTATTGCAAATGCAAGCAGTTCGGTGACCAGCGTTGGGTGCGGAGCCCTCGCCCCAGCTCAGGAAGCTCCCTCTGCAGTAGGGAAGGCAGCGGGGCCGGGTGGGGGAGGTGGTGTCAGTGCAAAGCCCGCCAGGAGACAGTCCCCAGCAAGGACCTGAGTGAGCAGGCAGAGGGCAGCGTCTCGGGGGAGCCTGAGAGTCCCCCACCCCTGCAGTCTCCCAGGAGACTGGAGCCCGACTATCTATATTCAGTCTAGATGAACCTCCTCTGGTCACTGCCCAGGGAACTGCCTCAGCGATGCTGTCTCAAGCCACTAGATTTGGGGTCAACACGGGGATACCAGGCTGCTTGTAGGATTTGCATCTTCCTAACAGCTGTACACGATGAATATATTCCTCACATACAAAACGCCCTGAAATTAGAGAACTGAAGTAAATTGCTCTAATTTCTCTTCCCAGTACAGCAGTTTCACTTTTTCTTTAAATAGTGGAGATTTTAACTTAAATAGTTGGAATATCACGTTCGGGGTGTATGGGGTGGTGACCTCATACACTCATAGGGGCAATTTGGATGGGTTGTGGTAAAATTTGAACAAGTTGGTCAGCGCCTAAAACCCAATATTTACCCATGGTCTTTTATTATCCCCTCAGGAAGCTGACATGCTGTCACTTTCCTTGACATTGCTGTCCCCCACTGATGCCAAGAGTGATGCGGAAACTTCTAAGTTTCACTTCCTCTGAGTGTGGGATTCCTTGTTTCCAGATCAACACCTCTCACTTTATCAACAGTATTCGGCGCTCCTAACCTGCAGCATTCCTTGAGTACCTCCCATGATTTATTCTTCTCCCTCATGTTTCTCATCTCAAAAACACCTGATATTGTTTATTTTATTAGTATCTGTCTCCCTGCATTAGGACATAAGCCAGAAAAGGGCAAAGATTGTTCACATTTTGTTGACTGCTAGAAAGATAATCGGCTGGAGTGGAGTCTCAATAAATAGTCAATGAAAAATGAAGGAATGAAGGTAGAGAACTGAGCATTGGCTTCAGCAACCTCAGGGACATTTGTCACCCCGACAAGGCTCGTTTCCATGGAGCACTGAGTACCAGGGACCCGTGACCAGGGGTTGGGGTAGCCTGATAAGGTGATAATTGGAGGTGACCACATGTCTCTCTCAAAGGGATGCATTGTAAAGGAGAACGAGAAACAAGCTGGGCGTGTCGGGGTGAGGAGTCCAGAGCAGGTGTTTGGTTTTTGTTTGCTGGCTTTGGGATGGAAGTACATGATCGACTAGAGAGGGAAGCACTGGTGATTCGGGAGAGACTGGAGAGAGGGCACATTTGCTGCAGTGAAACCTGCCCTCGAGGGGGTCCGGAGAGATGGCTCTAGAACACACCAAGCATGATTGTCTAGAAACATCCATATTACAAAGGGAGACTCAGAGGCTGATAGATGAATAGAAGAGTGATGGCCAATCACGGAGACAATTTTGGGGGTTGTTTCTCCTTTCTCCCACGGTTGGGATGCAGTTTCTAACTCTGAGCGGAGAGAGAGTAATTGGCTCTTTGATAAGAGAAAGCTTTGCCGCAGTCGCCCTCAGGGTATGTCACACAGAGAGAGCTGCCGGGGCAGGAGTCAGCGAGCTGCAGCCTCAGGCTAAGTCCGGGCCCCCCTGGGCTTCTGCAAACCCTGCCTGATTGGAACACAGCTATGCCCCATATGTATTCCTCTCGGCCACTGCTCTTGCACCCAATGCAGAGTCAGAAGTTGCCACAGAGACCTGATGGCCCATAAAACTAAAACATTCACTATGTGGTCTTTTACAGAAAAAGTTGCCAACCCCTCCCTGCTCCAGAAGAATGAAGTAGATTTACTGGGAGATCTGAGTGCTCACCCACACTAAGTTCAGCTGGTCAGCCTGGGCATGAGCTTTTCTCCAGCCATGTTTAGTTATGAGGGTCTACAGTTGGACAGAGAGATGGATTAAGCGAGGCCTGGCATTTTTACCATGAGAGTTTAAGGACGCTAGAGGCTCACGGGTGCTGAGGATTTGCCAAGGGAGGGAGGACCAGGGGCACCACACAGTGTGAGCCGGTTTCTGGGAGGTCTGAGGACACACAAGTGTGGGGTCTGGACCGAGGCTAAGCTGCACGGCCCCAATGGGGTACGCGAGCTGGGAGGTAGCACACACAAGCTGGAAATGGAGTGAACACAACCAAGTTTAGTCACGGCTTGCAGTTCCTGGAAAAAGGGAGGGTGAGAGACCAAGTGGCCAAAGTGGAGCAGGAGGCGACACCACAGGAGGGGAGAAGACACGTGGTGACTCACCGGCTTGTTCAGGGTGTCACACGAACCCCTGAGGTCCCCACTGGGCTGAGCACACACCTTTTTTCATTGGCTACCCGTAAGCCTTAAGTTTATACTCTCAGAAGTCAGCAGGTACTCTAGTCACGGGACTTCAGACGGTGCTAGTGATTCTGAGATATGAGGCAGTGGAACTTAAGAGATCTTAAAGTTCATTGCGTGGACTTGGGTAAACACCATAACTGTATGTTTAAAATGTGGTTTTTGTATCATTAGCATTATTAGTTACATTGTCATCTCCGATCCACTAGGTGTCCCACTCACTGGCGCGATCATGCTGTTTGGGAAGGAAAATTCTTTCAAACCCAGGAGGTGTCATCCAGGAAAATCGCCTCATCTTGTTCAGCTTTGTTCATGCAGTGAGGACACTCAGTCCTCACTCAGGAGGCTGCACCTCTCTCGAGGGCCCGATTCCAGTCGTTCTCCAACACAAAGTAGGAGAGACGATGGGCGTGGGAGCCACCCTGAACTCTGTACGCTGAGGGAAAAGCAAACGTGGCCCGTGACCTCTGAGGCGGGGGTCTGCATTCTCCTGGAGTCCTGCAGGGTCGGGGTGCAGCAGTGACTCAAGTCCCTTCGGGGAGGGCAAGTCGTGCTGAAGAAGGTAGTAAATGCCCCTTGTATTTTGCTCTGCTTTGGTTTTGCTTTGTGGATTATTTCTCGGTCTAATCCTTGGTGTTTGTATTTTGGGTGTTCTCTTTAAAATCCCCCCCAAATATATATTTTACAGTTACGTCACTCTTTGCTTTCTTCCGCTTACGCACTAACGGCAGAATAAATGGATCCTTCTCTTTCCTGTGTTTTATTCCCTGTCGTTTATTGGTTTCATTTTGTTTGGTATTTACATGTATTGAAGGTTCTACAGGGTAAAAATGCGATGGTCAAGGTAAATTTTATTTCATTTTAATATTACTTCACTTATTAACTTTAAATGGATTTGATCATTCAACTGATTTTATTTTCTAAGTGCTTTTCAGTTTTAAAGCAAAATGGATTTTAATTAAAAAAAAGCAAAAGAGCCAAGAATGAACTCACTGGTGAACTTCACTTTCAGGAGGAGAAACTCCATCCCGGGCTTATTCAAGCCAAAAGGACAACAACGACCCCTGAGTCCACAGCATTTCCCACAAACTTGCCTCCAATGACTCTGAACCATCTGCCCTCTGAAAACCTTGCAGGAAACTGTGATAGTTTAATCCAGATTTTGTCACGTCCAGCATTTCTGGCCAGGTTACTCATGGGAAATGCATAGCAGTAGGCCAAAGTAGGTTTACAGTTGCGAGTGTGAGCAACTGAGTCTGTTCTTGTGTTACTTATTAACTATGGTATTAGTTATTCATATTACAACTGCAAACCCACCCTTGCCTTTTAAAATGATAAGTCTGTATTTTGTTTAAGAGACAAAAATAAAACAGAAAGTCGTGTACTTGATGTTTGAGTGAAAAAAATCAGAAGCTGCTCTAAGTTTTAACATGAGGTAACCTGATTACACCCAAGTCAGAACAGGCCAACACATTTTAGAAACTTAAGTGAGTAAGCGCCTAATCTAAGTTGGGGAAATTCCCAAATTGCCACAGAGATCATTGAAGACCAGTACAAATCGTTAGGTCTTATTAAGATTAAGATCCTGATTGAAACTCTTTTGCTATTTTTAAATTGGCATCATTTCCAGTTTGGCCAGAAGAAATTACACCTGAAACAAACAAAAATGTTTAGAAAAAATATACATTTTTTCATATTATGGGTCTCACCTTGATATTTTGAAGCTGAACTGAGAAATCATTTTTTTCCTCTGAATTTCATTAGTCTCTTTTTGTTTCTGTTAGTTTACGAAGCACTAAAGGAAACACAAAACAACCAAAATTAGGCGAGAAAATGCTACAAGTGGGGACTGGTGATCATTTGGTAAGTGAAATGACCTCTGAAGCCTTCAATGCTCCACCCTCTCCCCACCCCCCGACATCCACTCCCGTTCTGTGTATTCCCGAAGAGAAGGCTCACTGAGTTTGCAGTGTTCGGTCAGGTCCACAGAGGTAATGAGCATCCGAAGGAGACAGGGCCGCCTGTCACATTTGAAAAGCAGGCACACGCACAGGAAAGAGGAGTCAACAAAACGGGAAGGAAACGAAATGACACCGCAGAAATTAATCATAAGTACACAAAGTACACAGGTGTATTTATTACAGTTTGCAAGCACTTGGTTCTACATTTCAAAAACGCCACCATCGAGCTGTTGGCACATTTATGTACAAAACAGATTAATTGTAATGCCTGCTACAAAGCACTCTTTGTGAAAATACAAACTCTAATACCAGGGGAAAAAGAAAAAGGCAAAAGCATCAACATCATTACATAAGTTTGAAAGACAGTTTTAAAAATCATCACAAACTGTTAAGACACAGAACTGAAACACTATCATATACAATTTAAAGAAGCCCATTAATACTTTTGCTGAATGTCTGTAATACTGCATATATCAGAAAATGTTGAACCAGTAAGGTAATCTAAAAAAAGAGAAGCGAAACCCCAAATTAATTAAATAATACTACAGATGCATTTTCATGCCACAGAGAACCCTAGTAATATCCCTATGTACTACAAGAACTTGTAAAATTATGGGTGATGCGTGACTAGCCATTGTACAAAGATTGTTTCACTCAATAAAGTTTATTAGAAATGCACTTACCCAGAAAAGTTTTCACAATGGTCAAATCAGTGCACAGTTCTATCTAGTTTCTATACACTGATCAAAATGTCTTGCCAGGAGACAGCATTTTCAAAGACACTTTACAGCATTCTTGTAGCATTAGAAATAATCAAGAGTCAAGGTTAAAACAAACACCAGATTTGGTCCAGTAATACTGATTGCAGTTTTTTTTTATTCTTTTGATATAGGTACTTCTTATAAATGAATATGAATGAACATTTGGTTAAAATGACTTACTGGAAATAAAAGCACAAATAGGCCACTACACCTCGGAAGGTTACACTGTGCGGTGGCCTCTAGCCATACTTTAAAAAACACTACAGGTAAACCAACACAGATTGGAAGGCTGCAAGCAACTCTATTATATTAATGGAAGCCTTTTCAAATATATCATACACATTTGAGGGATAGTTTACAGAGGTGCAATCTAATGAACCCTTTTAAAGTAGGTAAAACAACTTCGGAGGGGTGAGTGTGCTTATTTCTCATCCACCGCCTTCATGAAGGTAATTCATGTTCCACGTTAGCCTGTTAAAGTTCCAATCCAGCCACTGCTCAAGCCACAGAGAGATCCTTCTCAGACAGTCCACACTGGTTATTGCCATTAAAATGGTCTCTAGACTGCACTTTAAAAGGTGTGCCTGGCGTCACAACCTTAAAACGGCGGCAGGCCATGCATTAGCGTCACGGTTTCTACATGCTCACAACAAAAACTTGAAGAACCAGAGGGAAATACCTCTTCAGTACATCAGGAAAAAATACAGTGTTAACAAAGATAAGAAGCACTTTTTTTTTGACCTACTCTTACAAATTTAGAAATTGCACCTTAGATTGATGAAGACATTAACCAGGGCCTAGTGTGACGTGGCCCTGGTCCTCAGACAAGATCTCCGTGTTTCAAGAAGGGTCGGCAGAACATCATCTCTATGGTTCAGAGTGTACAGTGGTCCCTTTGAAGGTTACCTGTAGTTAAACTAGTTACCGAAATTAAAACCGAAAAGTATAAAAAGCTATTTTATTTCAAAACATAAGAAATAATGCAAAAGGTATCATGTATAACACAAGGGAAGTGGATAAGAATCAACTAAATCTCTGCATTGGACGGTGCCAGTATCCTTGATCTTAAGAATTATTAAATGAGTTTGAGAAAATTTAAAAAGAAAAAAGGCTGGATAGGAGCTTGTGGAAGAGGTCTGATTACACCAGTTTCACAAATTCGGAAATGAAGTGCTGGACAACAAGAGGTGGGTTCGGGTGATTCCTAAGTCACCCTCCGTGTCGTTGATGAGAAGCACTTCCGTTTTAGTTTCAGAAGGTCGGTGGTCAGGCAGCCCTGGGTTGAACACCAATGCGTTGGAACGGGACAGGCCGGGAAGGCTACGCTTATGTGTAGGCATTGAGCCGCTCTTTGGAGCGGGTGGAGTGGATGTCGTGCAGCTCTTGCTCCTCCTTGGACTTGATGTCCTCGTACTTCTGCATCCGGCAGGCGTCCTTCACATAGGCCCAGTTGGCAGACAGAACCATAAGGTAGTGAACCTAGTCAGAGACAACAACAGTTTATCTGGGAGGCTGTTTGGTGTCTTCACTGAGCCTCCTGGCAAGAGAGGAGTGTTCCCACTGCACACACGCCTGTACGAGATATGTTAGTTCACTAATTAAATGGAACCACATGTCTGTGGTCATAGGAATGATATAAATGCAACCCATTCCTTGCTCACTCCTCCAACTACAAAACACCATCTTGGCTTTCTTTCTTCACTATTTCTTATTCTCTTCCATTCTGAAGCTTCCAAGGCTGATTTTTAATCTTTACGTGATGTTTCCTGTCTATTCTGCCCTCATCTGCCTAAACTATAAGACTATACCTTTCAGGTCCATGTATCTATGTGTTCTAAGCCATGATCGGAAACAGTCTCATATGCAGCTTGAGTTGAGTCAACTTGAATTAAGCAGAGAATACACTGTCTACTGTGCCACAGAAAGAGTGGCCACAGAAATCCCCAAATAAACCTGTGGATTTCATTTTCCAGTGAATTTTCCATACAGTGAATGTTGCAGTTCCCCTTAGATGCAAACCACACAAGAGCAGGTATTGTGTCTTGTGGATTTTGCACATTTACAGGTATTCACAACAGCGAGAATAGTGCCAGGCTCAAACAGGAAGCTTGGGGTTCGTCTGGGGTAATGAAGTCGCTGAAGTGATGAAGGTCCTGAGTGACTCGGGCTGACTCCGCAATGAGGGTCACTTGTGCATTTTCTCCCTTACCACCCCTCTTGGTCTGCAGGAGACAGCGAGCAGTTCTCTGAGTGAGGAATTTCAGAGGATAAATAGGAACGGGAAACCAAGTTGTTAGTGTTGTGCTTTCTCTAAGTTTTGATGGGAGGGCAATATTTTTACCTCTAAATCAGTAATATAGAACACTAAACTGTGGATTAGTCAACTGTACAGTAAAAGGCAGGAGGTAGGTTTGTTCTAAAAAGTGCAGATGGACACAGAGAGTGCAAAGTCGATCCTGAATGGTGGCTACTGTGGTGGATTAAGGTCATTAACAGACGGTAGGAAACCGTCTGTTTGACAGGACAGCGTGAGACAAGGGATGTGCCAGCAAGAATGAGCTGTTTTTGGAATGTTCCGTTTCCTCTGAAATTTTGCGTATTAGTTGACAAAGAGTATAAGCTACATGCGAGCGGCACCTGTGGGTTACATTCTTGTTCTTTACAGCCTTTCCTGAGTGAAGCGCAACTAGTGTTACCCCTGCAACCAAGTTCATGTGGTTCTGGTGCTGGGAAAATGTCAAGTGTAGCAGAAAGTGCTTGGCAGCTAGTGGGTACTTGATACATTTGCCACATGAACAAATGCTGTGTTTTCAGATGTTCAAACATTTTCCTGTTAAAGCCTGGGGAAATGTGGCCCCTGAGCCATTAAATATTGTATGGATGCCTTCAGACTTGAACTTCAGTGACCCTTTAGCTCAGACACTAGTGCTTCCCACTAGATCCTCAGACATCTCATCTGGCCTGAGGGGACACAAGCTGCTGGGCCCCTTCTTGTCCCTCAGCAGGTAAACATGACCACGGGCACCAGGTGCAAGGCCAAGGTGATGCAAGCTGTCAGCAGATAGAACTTCCTAACATCGCTAACACATAATGCAGCGGAATCCATGTTAATTTTAGTGCACATTTTAATAACCCTGCCTTGGGGGTGAGGACAGGTAGTATATTGTGAGAACGGAGTGCATTCATGTACATGAAGCATTTGACAGGGACTTCAATGCTTCCGGGCAATGTTGGCTGGTAGCAGAGTCCTATTGGGACCAGCATTAGTACCAGGAGCAGCAACAGTAGTTTATTACTCCTGTCTCCTAGGAACCAAACTACTGCCGGAGCTAATAAATTGCAAAAACGGATGCAAATTAGTATGTAGATGTTATACACTTCTGAAGTAATCTATGCTTTGCATATATTTAGATATCCAGAAGTAGGCTTTGTACTTAAAAAAATCTTCTAACCTCTTGCTGTTTGAAAGAGAATTTGTTTATACCTTAATGTCTAAAGCTATACGAAGTATTGATTCCTTCAGACATACATAGCATCTTAATTTTTATAATCTTAAGATGTTTTGGTGATAGAAACATTTCAGAGCAGGCATTGTTAAGGACATTTAAATACCGTGATAGGTTTAGACAGGTGCTGCTCCCCAATGTGTGCCCTCAGGCAGGCATGTTTACGCAGAATTTGACCTGCACCTGGATGTTGCAAAGGCAGATGAAGCTTTATTATGCACCTCTTTGCAAGAGGCACTCTACCAAGCTCTCACACACGGTGAACAGTGCCTGAGTGTGCACGTCCCCACGGGTTATCCATCACCCAGGGATGACCATGAACGAGAAGGTGCTTCCTCTTGTCTCACAGCCAGGTGAGGCAGTGGGTGCCGTGCGTGCTAGAACCATCACTGTCCAGGCCACATGGGTGCTTCCCCAGGGCACGTATTAGCTTCGAGTTGAGGTCAAGGTTATAAGGTCTGGCTTTCTGCTCTCCTGTGATCCCTCCAATCAATCAGCCTACATGATCTTATTAAGCATCTCATATTCTGGAATGAAATTCCTATTAGAAGTTTCTACACTAACTCTAAATTAATATAATACAACATTAAGAACATATCTGAAAACCCACTTTAGCACTGACTTAGTGGGTTTTGTTAGCTATTTAAAAAATCATTTTTAATAAAACAGCATCAGATCTTAATACAAAAGCCAGCATGAAGTCACTAAAAATAACTGGTCTGAAATGGCTCATTAGCATGTTCGCATTATCCCGTCATTCCTATTTTTAGTCTTTGACAAGAGGTAAAATGCTCTTATTTTTAAAATGATGCTCTCTAGACAATGGGCTGGCACCACAGGAAAAGAATCAAATCAATCCAAATCAGTTCCTCATTTCTGCAGCTTAACCTGGCTGTAACGGGGGTGAGGTTCCTAGGAGACGTCTAGATTTCTAAGCTACTTGTATTCTAGGACACAAAATAAACACTGCAGACCCCGACCAGAGACCGGATGACTGCTGCTCAGAGCGTTTGCTTGCTGTTGGCATCCCAGTGAACAGCCTGGAATTTGTGGAGAGTTACAGAGGAGGAGAAGGATCTGGCGCATAGTAAGTCCTCCAAACTTGCTAAAAGCCAGACTCTAAGGCTTGTTAATATTTCCTAAGAAAATTAGGGATAGGAGATGTGACATAAGACTACTGAGATTTATTTTAAGGAAATTAATCCTTTTTCTTAAGTGGTTCAGTGGCTTTTTATGTTCTTATTTAAGGAGGAAAAGATGCTAATGTAAGTTAAGGAACTGACGATGTTACTTAGAAGGTCGCACTGACAGGTTCATATGAAATTGAACTCAGGTGCTACAGAGATTATTTTTCTATTGACAGTAATCTAATGTCTACATGCTAACAAATTTACTTATTTTCATTACTGTCTGCATATCATTGAGAGTTGTAACCCTTAAAATGATCGCCGAATATTGTCTCTGTTGTAATGATAATACTTCTTTAGGTTAAGCCTTGGGTTTCACTCTTTATTTGCCCAGTGTTCCCCATCCACCTTTTTTTGTTTTCCCTGCTAGTAAAATAAATGATTCATCTGGACGTCTGACATGATGGCCTTTGCAAGCAAATGCCTCTGTAGTTCAAATCCAGTGCCCAAGCCCAGGGACTTCGAGGTCTTACCATGGCAATGACTGCTGCCCCCGCTCCAGCCAGCGCCACGATGAACAAGTGGAAGGTCATGTTCAGCTGCAGAGGAAACCACATAAGCAACACGTGTGTCAAGGTTTGAGACAGCAGTGCGCTCGGGCCTGCGGCTTCTTAGGAATAAGAGCTTGCGCATCTTTAATGCAAGTGAGCCTGTGATAAGCCACTTACTCTACAAATATTGCTACAATATCTTTTCTCCTGCAGACCATTTAAATCTCTGCAACAGCATCCTGTTAACATGATTTCATTAGAAAGATGAGGTCGTGATTAATAATGATGGCTTTCAGTAATACAACAAATAAGGCTAATGTACCACTTTTTAAATAAAACTATAACTTTTCAACTTTGGTTAAAATGATAGTTTCTAGAAAAAAAGTTAAAATATTATAATTTTATTGACACAGGCAGAGCATCTCATTCACATGTATTTTCTAGTCCCCCTGCATAGCATCACTGCAAAAAAATTGCTTTTGAAAGAAAAAGGGCGAAATTGAAATGTAGACTGATCTATTCTTCCAACAACAAATCGAAGCTAACACTCTGACAAAATTCAAGGCTGTAAAAACACTCACCTCAGTGGACTCACACATCCTCAGGAAGTTCTCAGAGACGGTGCAAATTTTCCTTTCCTCTCCGATTGTCACAATCCCTGCAACGTGTGGAAAATGCATGTTCTCAAGAGGCCAGCCAGAGGAAATGCAACTGTGCAGATAAAACCTAAGCAAGTTCCACTGTATGTCACATTGCAATAGAAAGAGTCTTCCTGAGCCTCATTGCTAGGTAACAGTCACCAGCAGCACCGCAAGTGGAGAAGCCAACCTCTCTGGCCCTCGAGCGACATGCAACATGTTCGATCTGAGCTCACTCCGGTGCCTGGCGCCAGGGCCTCAGCTGCAGCCAGTCACATGTTTGGTCCAGCCACAGAAGGCCATGAGCATGACAGTCGCTTTGACAGCGAAGTCCCAGACCGTTCTGATGTCTGGACCTCAATTCATCCTGCGGGCACAAAGCTGCTGTTGGTCTATAAAAGCACAGTGCCCAAAGGAGAATATTTCCTCTGCTAATATTGAAACCGGGGCCATTAGGAAGGGGAAATACAAAGCTGCAAGGGCACTCAATTCACCCGCGGTCCAGTTGGTTTGTGGGCCAGCCGCATCAGCGTCGCTTGGGGCGATTGTCAAAAACACGTATTTCTGGACTCCGACAGAGAACTGTAAAGTCAGAACCTATGGCTGCTTGCCAGGACCTCTCTGCCCCGGTGCCGCAGACCTCATTTTAGAGATGTGACCAAGTTCACCCCAAAGTGGATCTTTTGTTTTATCCTAAAGTGGAGCTCATACATTAGAGCTGCAGCCATGGGCTTTCTCTACAGTTATGGTTTTAACATCCTTCCAGCTGGCTAAACAGAAGCCATATATTTCTGGCTTTGCAAGAACTGGATGTGAAATATGAATAGCTTCACAGAAAATAATGCCGAATGTGTGCATACAGTGACTACCATTTGTCCATTTCCATGAAGGAAGTTGTAAGCCACAGTTGGTGGTAGAGAAAATTAACAGACATTCTGATACTGGTGTCTCTGGGCCACGCTGGACGAAGAGTTGTCTTGGGCCACACATTAAATATACAAACACTGATGGAGCAAAAAATAAATAAATAAATAAAAGTTCTTAAGTAAATTTATGATCTTGCGTTGGGCCGCATTCCTAGCCATCCTGGGCATGTGGCCCGTGGGGCGTGGGTTGGACACCCCTGGAAAGTTACTCAGGGAAACTGCTGTGAGGTGTGTTTCTCAGCCAGAGATCCACCTACCAAACTGACGCAGGTCCAGGCAGAGGTTGGCGCCCTCCACGAGGGTGGTGTTCCGGCAGATGGTCCACAGGTTGAAGTACATGTACACGGGCAGGGCGGTGAAGGCCGTCACCCCCAGCCAGGCCAGCATGAACAGGTATGTCAGCATGATGAACTGTGTCAGAGAAAAAGGTGAGAGAGAACACGTGTGGGCTACTGGGAAAGAAGAGCTTCTTGTTTACGGCGGTGGAAGGAGTTCAGCGCTGTCATTACAACACTGGTAGGGGCTGCAGCGCTGAAGTTGGGACTGATGCAGGGACCGAAATTGGAAAATGATGTGTTCTGTGTGTGTAGGCATGTCCGTGTGTGCCTGCGAATCTGAATGGGCACCCGGAGTCACAATATGTGCCCCCTCTGCATACTGTGATCTGGAGTTCGCACCTCTGAGGGTGTGGATTGTTTGGAAGTTGCATCTCCTGAGACATGTCCCGATGCCTGTGATATCTGCATGACCAGAGTCAGAACACAGGGTGACAGGTGAACCTAAGTATAAACATGAAGTTGGATTTTAACCCTTTAAGCACATCGTGTGACCTAATGCAACACTAGGACCGCAGGTGAAAATGCACGAACATTGCCCCCGCACACCAAAAGCTAACTTCCTGCAGACGTTTGGCTGCTCTCCGAGTTTCAGAGGCACAGGTCTATGACTTCTGAAGCCAAGCGGTGGAGTGTTCCGGCTCCACCTGGACCTCTCTGGTGGTCACATTTGCAGAAGGACAACACGACATAAAACGTGCGTGGTGAAGCAGCTTCAAGCTCACGTTCAGCTCTGTTAATTCCTCTGGTCGTGAGTGATTGTCAGACTTTGCTCCACAATTACGGTGAAACTTCAAACAAGTGAAACGTATTTAATAACTCGATATATAGTAAAAGTAACGCTTTCAGAAAGTGGTGACTGTGCTGACAGTGTCGTAGGGGAGTGAATACACCTACATTAAAGTGGTGTTGTGGTTACAATAGAGATGACCGAGACTGTGGGTAGTAGGGAATCTCTGTAACAAACAGGAAAAGAGCCGGGATGAAGCTAAGGAGGCCTGAGGTCAACCTTATCACCTACAAATTGCTAACTGTCACTGTACTTCAGAAATCCAGAAGGTAATTAATACTTTCTATTGCTTCATCTCCTCCCAAAGCTGACTTCCTGCTGGCCTGCACTATGAAATGCTGATGAGGTCCTTAAACTGTGAGCTGGCAGGTATACTCACACCTTCTACATCCCAGGTAAAACAAAGCCTGACCTAAAAACACGAGCAGATAAAACTTTTTGAGTATTAAGCTGTTTCAATCGGTGAAGGAAATGGAGTGAGTGCCCTTTCATGGCTCCTTATTCCTCTCTTCTGACCTCACACATGGAAAGGTGTGGTAGGATGTCAGCCACAGAGAACAAGGAGTGCTCCCTCCTATTTCCCTCGTCAAAAGAATAAAACTGTTCCATGTGGAAATCTAGACAACATCTGGCCTTGGAACACACTGGGCTGCCTACGGTAAACATTTCACATTTTGCTCGACCCCACCAGAGATAAAGGAGAATATTTCCTGGGTGCTCTTTATTCTTTCTCCTTTCTGGGGATGGAAGGAAGCAAGTCCACAGCCGAAGCCGACTGTGCAGGGTGGCCTTGCCCACCCACCCAGCCCAGGTGACAAGGGTCCACTAAGCATTGCCTGCATTAGCTCTGCAGTGTGACAAACTGACTTGTCACTAACCATCAGATGGATAAGAGCTTAAAACCTAAATTAGTATAATAGTATCATTCTTGTCTTACATATCACTATCAAATAGATATTAGATGATACAATTCTCCCAAAATTTAAGGTAAAATACAGACATGTGTTTAGGGAGAAGAGACACATGTATGGTGTTGTCTATAAATTGCAGATGGCTTTTTCTGTTATTGGAATTTTTTAAAAATTTTATTTATTTATTTATTTATCTTTAGAGGGGAAGGAGAGAGGGAGAGAAACATCAATGTATGGTTGCCTTTCGTGTGTCCCCTGCTGGAAACTGGCCTGCAGGGAACCGGCCTGCAACCCAGGCATGTGCCCTGACTGGGAATCGAACTGCGATGCTTTGATTCACAGACCCGCACTCTATCCACTGAGCTATACCAGCCAGGGCTGTTACTGGAATTTTTTTTATCGTCATAACTGTTTTAATTTTTTATTTTATTGTATTGTATTTTTTCTCACTTTTTTATTTAGTTATTTTTTAAGCTGGAATTTTTAAATATTGCATTGAAACCCCAAAGCCCTTTGGGAAAAAAATCGTAAATTAGTCGACTGTTTTGTTGCATGTTATTCGAGAATTTGAAACTAGACGTTCACGTGGAATAATCTTAATTTGGGAAATAATGCTAAGAGTTAAGATCGCAGTCACAGGAGGGAATGGTACTGTGTTTAAAAAATACTTCCGTTCCTGGCAGGTGAAGACAAACACCTGTGCGCCCTGGAGACAGACTCACAGGTAACACTGAACGTTCACGCACAACGTACCCAGGCGCTGACGCATCGGCCGCAGGCAGTGATCTTGAAGTCCCCGTAGAGGTCGCGGATGGCACCGGTGGTGAAGAAGCCCTCCACCATGAGCAGGATGCCGTAGACGAAAAAGGCCGCCGCCAGCCCGTAGATGACATACTTGAAGATGTCGATCCTGGAGAGAGAAGACCTCAGTTAATTTCCATCCCACTCTGTGGCTGGACCACAGCGCCAGGTCCTCCGGAGCTCATAGTTCCTTTGGGATGAGGGCTGCGGAGTATTTACGTTTGTAATGCAGGTCGGACGTAGGCACGTTTTTGCCCCATAGGCCTCAGGTCTGTACATACATTTTATCCTTCCACTTCCAGTATCTGCTGACAAAGGTTTGTCCTGTCTGTAAATTTCTCTCCCCTTCCCAAGCTTCCCTGGACAAGTGGTGAGTCCCATTGCTAAGCAGTTGACTTAAATCCATTAGATAAGTAGGGTACTCAACACAAGATTTCTCTAATTATGACAAAATATCAAGTATAAAGATTTCTGTATATATCACTGAGTTTTAAAAACACTAAAAGAGGAAGAAAGCTTTATGGTTAATGATACATTCATTTTTGAGGAAATCACAACCTCAAATTCTTGTTATTGTGAAAAGTCAACTGTCGTTGTGTTTTATGTCACACTGTAAACCATCACTAACATTTTCTGCTGATGATATCAGTAATAAAAAATTATAGCTTTACAGATAAGTGGTGATTTTGATGAGTAAGCATTTTAGGGAGAATGGCTGTGAGAAATTATATAGCACTGGTCACGAGCCAAGGCCTAGCATCATTCCATAGAGAAATGGGTAGGTGTCCTTTCTTTCCTCACGACTGAGTGCCCCTGTATGTGAGAGACGCACGGATTGTCTACCAATTGGAGATGGATTTTTCTGAATCTCATATGGGAACCCCAAAGCCCTCTTGAAAAAAAATCATAGAATTTGCCACTTGGATGTCTTCTTTGAAAAATGTCTACTTAAGTCCTTTGCCCATTGGTAGGTCAGGTTATCTATTGATTTGTTTATTTACTTTTGCTATGGAGCTATGGGAGCTTGTATGTTTTAGGCATTAATCCTTATTGGCTACAGGGTGTGTGAATACTTTCTCCCACACTGTAAGCTGCCTCCTCCCTCTGTTGTTTTCTCTGCTGCATGGAAGCCTCTAAGTTTCGCTTAGTTCCACGTGTCTATTCTTGCTTTCGCTGCCTGTACTTTTGGTGCCATATCTAAGAAATTGTCACCAATACCAATATTATCAGTAGTCTTTCCAAGATTATTGGGAGTCTTTCCCCTCTGTTTTCTTCTAGGAATTTATAGTTTCAGGCCTTACATATGAATGGTGTAAGATGAGGGTCCAAATTCATTCATTACCAAGTGAATATCCATTTCCCCCAAAATCATTTCTAAAGATACTATCCTTTCCCCATGGTGGTCTTGATACCTTGTTGAAAATCATTTCACTGTATTGTATGAGCAAGGGCTCACTTCTGAGCTCTCTATTTTGTTCCACTGGTCTGTCTGTCTGTCTTTATGTCAGTACTGTAATGCTTTGATTACTGCAGCTTTGTAATGTTTTAAAATTAGAAAGTGTAAGGTCTGCAACATTGTTCCTCTTTCTCAAGATTATTTTGGCTATTTGGGTTCCATATGAATTTTAGGATGGCTTTTACCATTTTCATTTAGAAAAAATTATTGGGATTTTGATGAGGATTACGTTCAATCTGTAAACTGCTCTGGGTAGTATGTAAATTCTGACAATATAATCTCTTCCAACCCATGAACACAGGCTGCTGTTTTATTTATATGTTGCTCCTTTAATTTATTTCAACAATGTTTCATAGTTTTCAGCATACAAACCATTCACCTTCTTATTTAAATTTATTCCTATTTTATTATTTTTGATTTTTATTGTAAATGGGATGGCGTTTATATAAATTCAGACTTCTTAAATTTGTTAAGGCTTCTTTTGTTACCTAACAAGTTCTCTATCTTGCTGTTCCCTGTGCCCTTGAGAGGAATGTATAGTCTGCTGCAGCTGGGTGGAATGTTGAAGCATGCCTGTTAGGCTCACTTGTAAAATAATGTTGCCCAAGTCCTCTGTTTCCTAATTAATCTTCTGTCTGAATCTTCCAATAGAGTGTCTACCATTTCTATTACAGAAAGTGGCTACTGTTTCTCCCTTGAAGTCTGACAGAGTTTGTACTGCATATTTGGGTGCTGTGATGTTGAGTGCATATATAATTGTTAAATATTCCTAGTGAGTTGACCCATTTGTCATTATACAAAGTTCTCCATTGTCTCTTTTGACAGTTTTGACTTAAAGTATATTTTGTTTGATATCAGTATGGCCACCCTTGTTCTTTTTTGCTTCTCATTTGCCTGGAATCTTTTTTCATCCTTTTACTATGTTTACCTTTAAATCTAAAGAGATTATCTTACCGACCACAGGTACTGAATCTTGTTTATATAACCTTTCAGTCACTTTGGATTGGGGAGTTTAATCCACTTACCTTTAAACTTATTACTGACAACAAAGGACTTGCTGTTGCCACTTAGTTGTTCTGTATTTGTCTTGTAGCTTTTTTTGACTCACTGTCTCAATGTCTTTTTTTTCTGTTTCACTGATTTTTTTTTTAACAGTGACATGCCTTACTCAATTTCTTTTATATATCTTCTATAGATATTTTCTCTGTGGCTACCATAGGACTTAGATAGAACATCTTATAGATAATCAATTTTGAGAGGATACCTTCAATCACATACAAACGCTCTAAATGTTACTCAACCACACCTTTACGTTATTGGTGTTACAAATTATAATTTTTATATTATGTATCCATTAACATTTCTGCAGCTACAGTATTTTTATACTTTTGTCTTTTAACTTCTATGCCAGAATCAAAGGTGATTTATGTGATAGTATAACAGTATTTTGTATTTGTTTATATTTACCTTTACCAGTGAGCTTTATACTTTAATCGGCTTTTGTGTTGCTATTTAAAGTGTTTTTATTCCAACTTGCAGGGTTCCCTTTAAGCATTTCTTGTATGGCAAGCCTGGTGGTGATAAACTTCCTCAGCTCTTTTTTTAAATTCTGGGAAGTTATTTCTCCTTCATATGTGAAGGGTATTTTTGGCAGATACAGTATCCTTGGTTGGCAGTTTCTTTCTCTCAGTGATTTAAAGCACCTCACTCCCTTCTGGCATGCAAGATTTTCCAAAGAAACCAACCGATAGCCATATAGAGTTAGTTACCCTAGAAGGATAAGGAGTTGCTTGCTCTTGTTTCTTTCAGAATTCTGTTTTTTACATTCGATAATTTGATTATATGTCTCAATGTGGGTTTCTATAAATTTATCCCAATTAGAGTCCACTGAGGTTCTTGAATCTTGATGCTTATGTCTTTGTACAGATCTGGGAAGTCTCCTGTCATTGTTTCTTTAGATAGGCTTTCTGCCCCTGTCTTCTTCTGGACTCCCCACAATGAATGTTTGGGTCAACTGGAAGGTGCCCCTTAAGTCTCTATGGCTTTCCTTACTCTGTTTCACCCCCTTGGTTCCTTGGACTGGATGATTTCAAATGACATGTCTATGGGTTTGCCGATTCTTCATTCGGCTTCATCAGCTTGATTTTGAACCCCTCTAGTGACTTTTTCAGGTCAGTTGTCTAACCCCTAAGTTTCTGTTTGGCTCTTTCTTACATTTTCTATCTCTTTGCTGATATTCTCATTTTGTTCATGCATTGTTCCCTTGAGTTCATAAGGCATCTTGATGATGGTTGGTTTGAATTCTATGTCACATGATTCATGTAACTCCATTTCTTTAAGATTGTTTTCTAGAGATTAATTTTGTTCCCTTTTAGGGCAATGTTTTCCTTAATTCTTCAGGAGTCCTGTAATTTAGTGTTGTGGGTCTGTGCATTTGGGAAAACAGCAACCATTCCCAGTCTTTAAAGAATTAGCTTTGTACAGAAGGAGAGGCTCACCATTCAGTCTGGCTAGACATTCTCGGGGCCACTGAAACCTTTTTTGGGGAGTGTAATTTTGAAAGGCCCATGAGTGCAATTTCCCGAGTAGACAGACTTGCTGGTTTCTTTCTCAGAAGCTCATAATCTTGCTCTTTCTGGTGACCATCTGCAATACAGCCAGCTCTGCTTCCATACCGAGAAGCTGCCCCAATCTCCCTTGTTCTGAGCAGCCACTCAGCATCCAAAGTTTGCCAGCTGCAGGAGAGTCAGGCTCGGGTTCAAAGATCTGAGGATACTCCACGGTGGGCTTTGAAGACTGAGGCCAGGAGCCAGGGGATGCACGTGGCCTCTGGAAGCTGGGACGAGTGCAAACAGGGATTCTTCCCAGAGCTTCCAGATGGAGTGCAGTCCTGCCAATATCTTGATTTCAGCCCATTTCAGTGAGCTCAGTACGACCCAATTCAGACTTGTGACATCCAGAACTTTAAAAAAATAATAAATTTGTGTTTTTTAACTTACTAAATTTGTTGCAATTTGCTACAGTAGCTACGGAAAGCTGATGCATTACTGTTATGAACAGCATGGTATGGGCACAGTGTAGGTTGTTTCCTTTAGAAAAATTCCTAGGAATTTTTGAGGTATGTTTTGTGGAAGTGGTGTTCAGGAAATTTGTGCCAAAATAAAGATATGTTGATAATGAGTAATTATCATTATCTCTTTTTGTTTTCCAATACCAGATATCATTGTTCAATTTTCCTGATAAATTTATAGTCAACAATGGTATTATTTTCATTAATTTTCTTAGTTTAGTAGTATGGATGAAAATATATTTACAAGATATTAGTTATTTTGTATTTTTAATGGGATATGTTTCATATCTTGCCCATTTTTCTACTAGAATACCCAGAATATATCTTTTTGTTGTTAATTTTTAATATATTAGAATTGAGAACACTTGTCATGTAACTGGTAAATATTTTGCTCAGTTTTTTCATACATTTTAATGTTTTCACACACTTTAATAAGTAAAATTTAATTTATATTGTGTCAAATCTATAAATCTTTGTTATTTCTTATATTGCTTAAATAAAACTTGCCTCATGTGAAATCTTAATCTACATTTTCTTGTAGCATTTATGAATTAATTTACTCTTGCATTTTAACTTTCAATCC